GATAGATAGATAGATAGATAGATAGATAGATAGATAGATAGATAGATCTGTAGGTAGGTACATAGGTAGGTAGAAAAATAGATACATAGATGGGTGGATGGATGGACGGACGGACAGACGGACAGATGGCCAGGCAGGCAGTCAGGTGGGCAAACAGATGGGCAGACGAACAAACACAACCAAGCAAACATTTTTAAAAGTAAAATAGAAAGCCAGTGTGGTAGCACATGTCTTCAAGCCTAGAACTTGGGAAGCAAAGGAAAGTGAATTTCTGTGAATTTGAGGCCAGCCTGGTCTACATAGTGAGCTCCAGGACAGCCAGGACTACACAGAGAGACCCTGTTTCAAAAAGCCAAAATATAAAATAAAATACAAGCCACTTTGTGGTGACACACACTTATAATCCCAGAACACCAGAGGCAGAGCTAAGAGGATGGAAGGTGCAAGGCCAGCCAGAAATATATAGTGAGACTATCTCTGAAAAAATAATTAAGTAAGACACAAATAAAATGAATAGACAAGGCATGGTGGTACACTCAGGAGGCTGAGGCAGGTAAGCTTCTGTAAGTTCCGCACCAACTAGGGCTACATAGGAAGACCCCATCTCTAATAATGAATAATAATCATTTTTGAGGGCTGGAGAGATGGCTCAGAGGTTAGGAGCACTGACTGCTCTTCCAGAGGTCCTGAGTTCAATTCCCAACAACCACATGGTGGCTTACAGCCATCTATAATGAGATCTGGCACCCTCTTCTGGCATGCAAGCATACATGGAAGGAATGTTGTATACATAACAAATAATTAAATCTTTAAAAAAATAATCATTTTTGAACAAAATAAATAGACATGAATATGAGTGAGATTTGAGGAGAGGAAACAGGGGAGGAAGTAGGGTGAAAGTGCTCTGTATGTATTGCATACATGTGCAAAATTGTCCAAAAATAAGTTTAATAATAAAAATACCAAAGAATTTTGAAAGGGATAAAATGAAATTTAAAGCTTAAGCCTCTCAATCACTATTCTCTCCCAAATCCACCCAGGCCTCAGTGGACAAGAGCTCTTGCTGCATTGTAGCCACCAACGCGCAGGGCAGTGTTCTCCCAGCCTGGTCCGGTCCCCGGGAGGCTTCCGAAAGCCTGTTTGCAGTGCGGAGGCACCTCTGGGGAAGCCATGGAAATGGCACCTTTCCAGGTCAGTGTATCTGCACCCTATCTGATGATCCCACTGGTGTCGGGGGCGGGCACAATGGAGCTCCCCATTCCCCTCACATCCCCACCAGCATCTGGGAGGAAAATGCACCTGGCTTTATTAGGCCAAGAATCCTCCAATGGTTACAAATGCATAGCTCCAGCCCTGTGTCTTTTGGGGACTGGAGCCATGCCTCACCTTGGCATGTGCTACTTCATTTGGTCATCATGAGGGAGGGACCTAGTTAAGCAATTCCAAAGAACCCTCCCTTCTTCCTCGCCTCAAGGGGAATCAAGTGGATTCATCTAACCAATCAATCCATTCCCACCTGCCAGGCCCGGGCTGTGGACTTAACCAGGGACAATAACTCTTTGGTGTCATGCTGGCTGTGCCACTTGAACTGATGCGCAAGTTACCTGACTTCTTTTTAATCTAGGGAGAGCTGTTTTGGCAAGAGTGGTGCCAAGAGTCAGCTCCGGGCAGGCACTCCACAAACAGTACCCGATCACAGACACCCCCTCCACCCTTGGTGCTAATGGGAGGGTTTCAGGCCTTGGACTCAGTGTGGAGACAAAGGTGGGGCAAAGTGTGAGGAGTTCACGGGGCCTGATCTATTCCAACCCTCCACAGAGTTCTTCCACAACATGGACTATTTCAAGTTCCATAACATGAGGCCCCCTTTCACCTATGCCACCCTCATCCGATGGGTAAGCAGGGCAGCCTAGACCTCACAGCTGGGGGTGGGGTGGGGGTACTTGTCTCCTTTGCTACTACATCTCTCTGCACCAAGAGTGGGATCCTGCATTAACAAACTTCAGCTCTAAGAAGCTCAAAGATATGATCCTTCTTGATAGCTTCACCCCAGATCTGTCCCTGAACCAAAAACTACTACAAGCCAGGACAGTGCAAACCAAATTGTGACACTAAAAAGTATCCTTTCCTTTGTCCACCCCATTACTAACTTCACCCTGCCCCCATGCCTCATCCCATTCTTTCTCCCTCTCCTCCCTTGACCCACAACTACACACCTATCCCAGACAGAGAGCTTAGAGTAGGCTCCCCCCCCGCCTCAGGCACAATTCTGAGGAAACCTGCTCATTCCACCTGACTCCAACTTCCAGGCCATCCTGGAAGCGCCAGAGAAGCAGAGAACACTCAATGAAATCTACCACTGGTTCACACGGATGTTTGCCTACTTCCGAAACCACCCGGCCACCTGGAAGGTGAGCACCTCTGTACAGTGGGGGCTGGGATGGCTCCAAGGGTGGGTGACCTTATGCGACACACGTGGGAAAGGGACAGGTTAGTGCTGAGGTCTACTGAACTCACTGCCTGACTGTCCACCCCATCCCTGCCCGGGGTCCTGACCCTCCTTCCACAGAACGCCATCCGCCACAACCTGAGCTTGCACAAGTGCTTTGTGCGAGTGGAAAGTGAGAAGGGAGCGGTGTGGACCGTAGATGAGTTTGAGTTTCGCAAGAAGAGGAGCCAGCGCCCCAGCAAGTGCTCCAATCCTTGTCCTTGACCTCAAAACCAAGAAAAGAAAGATGGACAGGGGCCAAAACATAAAACAGGGGCTGTGGAGGCAAGGAGGCAAGTCATGGACATATCTACAGAGACCAGGCAATGATGTTTCCGCCGTCTTGCCTGCCAGGGCCTCTGCTCCCTATCTAGCTGCCCTCCCGGATTATATCTTCCGCCTTAAGGCTGAGGGACACCAATCCCAGTCGGGCCCCTATCCCCAACCTATTCCCAAGACGGGCTTTCCAGCCAAATAGCCCTCAGACCCAGGTATACATACAGCCTGCCTTGGCCACTCCCAAGTGGAAAAATGACACAGACACACAGTCATAAGCCTGTCTCCTGGAATCAACCCAAACCCTAAAACACAAAGAGCCTGCCTTGGTACATTCGCCTGCCCTCAAAGTTGCATAGTACTGCAGTCTCATGTGACTGCAGCCCTACTGACTCATACACCCACACCCACATCGGGGACCATGGGCACTAACTGTCACACATAGGTATATATGCAGACCCTTGCACAACAGCAGCACCGGAACCTTCAGGATTGCATCCCAGAAAACCACACAGGCATAACTGGTAATACAGTCTCATGCCATGCCCCAAAATATCAACAGTCACAGCTTGTCAGAACTCACACATGTACACACATGCAGCCCCCTCCACTGTATCTCCTGAGTTCCATGAATACACACTGACTCACCAAAATCTACCCCATGTCTCACTTGCCACTGACCCCAGTCCTCTACCCCAAGCCCCAATCCATGCCTCAGCGTGGACCACAGAAGAACTTCTCTTTTATTTGGGATAGAAGGCCCCTGGCCCCCAGTGCCCATCTAATAAACTGTAGCCAAGCTAGACAATCACCCTGATCAAAGATGGGACCAGATAAGCAGGGATCTGGGTTTAAGATCCCAGTAGGAGAAAGCGGAGGCCGAACGGAAGGAAATGCTAGAACCAGTGCTTGGGCACTGCCTCCAGCACCCCCAAATTCCTGCCTGTGGCGAGGAGATCTCTATCAGGCCTCTAGGACTCCCGGACCCGGGCCAAGAGGCCAGCATTCTCCTGGCGAAGGGCTCGGTAGTCCTCACAGATCTTCTCCAGGTTGCTCAGAGTCTTCTTGCCCATCTCTGTCTCGATCTAAGACAACACAATGCACACATCTTCAGTATGCAGTGCCCATTTCCCAGCCCCTGCTGGCTGCCCCTCTACTGCATTACTCTCTGCTCCCCCATCCCTGTAACAGTGGCCTGTCCCTTCCATCATCAGGCCTCTGTGGATGTCCTTCCCGTCACCTAAAGTCACAGTTTCTATCATGGGTTCTGGGAGCTGGGCATGAGGAACCTCAAGCTACTCAGAGTAGACGACTGACTAGCTCCAGGTCCCAGACACAACAGGCCCCATGGCTGAGCCTCTAGCTCTCAATTGTCTGGTTTTGCAGACTCTCAGTGTAAAGCAAGGAACTATCGCCTCATCTGCCTCCATTCCCCTTCCCATTCCCAGATCTCACCTGCTCCTCAAGGTCTCGAACTTCCCTCATGATGGTGCCTGTGTCCTCAATGGTCTGGATGAGCTGGCTGCAATTCTGGAGACAATAAGAATACAAGGCTTGCTTGCGCCTGTGCTAGCCCTCCACAGCCAATTCACCAGGCACATGGCTCCCCTCACCTCATGCAGGGCGGCTAGATATTTGTAAGCCTTCCGGACAGCATCATCCTTCTTAGCATCCTGAAAAGACAGAAGGGACCGCAAAAGTATCAGCAAGCCGTTCCCACTTGTTCATGACGCCAGTCCCCTCTAGACCCACTCCTTTCTACCACTTTGCCTTCATCCTCCAGAGAAAAACGCTAGGCCCAAGCAATAGGCAACAGCCCAGTCCCGCCCTCTCCATCCTGCAGGCCAACCCGCTCCATACCTTAAACACAAGTTCATCAGTCACTGCAAATGTCCGGTCCAGCTTCCCAGAGAGAGAGTTGATTTCCTTCTGAAGTTCCTTTGTGTCCGACAAGATCTGGCAGAAATCAGAGCAGCCATCAGTCCATGTCTGGGGCACGGTGGCTGGCTAGTGATGGTACTCATGCGCCTGCACTTACATCCAGTCAGGGCCTGCGTCACTGCGTTGGGGTGTCTGGGGTATACTGTATGTGACCCTTATATGCTGGAGTGTACCTGAGCAGCTCTGCCTACCTGAGACCATAAAGTCCCTGTGTAACTAACTACCCTACACCTGCCTGCCCACGTGATCCGTGATCCATCCATCAGAGCCATAGTGGCACACCTTAGTGATCTCTTCTTTCTGCTTCCGGATGTTGCCCACAATCTCCAGGATGCGCTGGGTATAGGCCAGCCGGGACACATCTTTTGGTAAAGTCTCCAGCTCTGACACCTAGACAGGAACATGGCAGGCATGAGCCCAAGCCCCACACTCCACCCCTGGTTACAGCCCAGGGCCCTAAAATCAGCCTTACCAGCTGCTTATAGACCTCCTCCTTCCTGCGAGCCTCTTCTGCAGCTGCTCGAACACTCTGGTGTAGCTCCTGAATTTCTGCCAGCCGTCGAGATGATTCCAGCTACCAGGAACCCATAGACAGAAGGCAGTGAGCAGAGCTCAGAAACAGCCCCCAGTGGAGGCAGTACATCTCTGTTCACAGCCCAGGACTCCACCACCTACCTCCCTACAATCCTGAAGTTTTCGGAGGTGGCGGTACTCAGCAAGAAGTGGGACCCGATGTTTCTCCCACTGACTTGCTAGATGAATGACCCGCTGGGCACTACTCTCCACCACAAGCTGCCAGGAGTCAGGGAAATATGTCAAAACAGGCTAGATCCATCCACCCCACCACTCTCAGCCCAACCCCAATCCCAGCCCACCTGCAGTTTGGCGAGGTTGGCAGCCCCATCAGGCAGCAATTCCACCGCCCGACTCTTCAAGCGTAGGGCCTGCTCCTGCTCAGCTACGCTGAGTTCGCTTTGTCGACACTCAGTCTCCACCTGGTACACTCACAGCCAAGCTCCCAGTCATATATACAGCTCATAATCCCACTGAGCACATTATGGCCCTGGCCCAGCTCAAGACTTCAAAGATCACTCCATGGCCTCTACCTACTACAGGTCTCAGGATCTTGAGCTCCATACTGACAGCCAGAAGCCCTGAGAAGCCCTGCAAGCCCCTGCTCATACAAATCCATCTTGCTCCACTGATGCCCATAGATTCTATGCCCCCCTACAAAGCCTGACTGGTGCCAAAATGTGCCTCTAACCCCTATAGGTCCACCAAGCCATTAATTAAACATCTTTCTTGACCTCGAAAGTTCTCCTAGACCTTCAAGAATATTAGAGGTCCCTAATATCCTCCATTAATAAGCCTGGCATCTTCAGACCTCTTCAGATCAGCTCTCAAGGTCCTTGCTCTGACCTGATCCAGCCCAGGTCGCTCTCCCAGCCCCTTACCTGCATAAGGTTGATTCCCAGGGTCTTCATGTCAGCTTCAACCTCCTCAATGTTGTGGTTCACACTCGCCAGCTGCTCCCGAAGGGACTCTAACTCCTGCTCTTGAGCTGCCCGTGTGTCCTGGGAAGCATAGGCCGGTCTACATGGAGCCACCAAGTCCAGAAGACAGGCAATAGCACAGCTGACCTCTCTCTTCTCTCTCTCTCTCTCTCTCTCTCTCTCTCTCTCTCTCCCTCTTTCTCTCTGTCTCCCTCTTTAACTCTCTCTGTCTCTCTGTCTGTCTGTCTGTCTCTCTCTCTCTCTCTCTCTCTCTCTCTCTCTCTCTCTCTCTCTCTCTCTCTATCTATCCCCTTACCTGTTCAGGCCTCTGGGAGGTAGCTGGTACATCTGGTACCTGAGGGGCCTGGACCTGGGGCTCCTATGGATAGAAGCAGCAGCCTGGTTGTTAGTCACACAAGGTCCTGGTCTTCACAGCTCAGCCTCAAACCCCAAAGCACCCCCAAACACTGTACCCATGTCTGCTCAACCAGTGACAGTTTTCAGACTGTGACTGTAAGAGAACAAAACACCATTTGTAACTGCAGATTAGAGTGGCTGACCACAAAAAAAACCTTTCTGAGGCTAACACTGACCACCCCAACCCTGTAACCACCCCGACCTGTAACCATCTGACCTCTGTAACCACCCCAACCCTGTAACCACCCTGACCCTATAACTACCCCCAACTCTATAACCACCCCGATCCTGTAACCACCCTGACCAACATGTCCATGAAAAAAGCAGGCATTCCTCTGAGTGGGTGTCCAAGGAAAAGAGATGTTCCCAAAGGAAATATGTTTATCAAAGGAAAGATGGATCTGTGCTGGGAGCACTGCACACCCCTTACACAAGTCCTACCACCTATCTGCCCTTTCTCCATTCAAGTCCCAAGAAGCTAGGGGAGCCCTCTGGGCACCGTCTCCCAGTTGGAAGGCCTCAGTGGGCACGGGGAAGCTGTATGGGATACAGTGGTGTTAATACAGAAAGCAACTCTCAAGGCAGCCATCGGCACATTCCCTGTCCACTCTGGCCTACCTACCAGATGAAAGGTAAACTTCTCTGAATGGGTGAAGCGGGAGCCTTTGGGGGTGCTAGTCGTAGTCCTAGCATCCCAGGCCTGTAGCATCTCTCCTAGGTCTCGGACTTGTGTCGAGGCTCCAAGTGGGCCCCAGCTCTGACGCAGATGTTCAGCTAGCTGCTTGTGCAGTCGCTGCTGTGCAGCCCGTGAATCCTCCTGGGAAGAACAGACGGGGGAAGAGGAAGGCATAAGGGCCTGCTGCTCCCTAGGGCCCTGTCTTCCCACCAAGGCAGCTCCCTGCCCACTGGCCTAGGAGCTCCCCAAGGACAGAGAGGTGCCTTCCCCCACAGTGGGTAGCATTTCTCTACCCACTCACTCCTCATCCTACAGAATGTGAGAAGAGAGAAAAGTGAGCCTGGGGCTTTCAGATCAGAAGGAGACGGAAAGGATGGTGGGCAGCAAAGACACAGAATGTAGAGTACCAAGTCAAAAGGGGTCAGAGTTCAAGACAGAGGGAGATAAGCAAAGGAGAGAAGAACAGAGACCATTTCAGTGCTGAAGGGCACGAAGAAATCATTAATTTCATTCAGTATAAAAATGGCACAAGGGTTATATAAAAAATGTTCTTGTGAGTAATGACTCATCATCTTGAATACTTAGGAGTGGAAATTATGTGGCAGTTTGGGTTGACTAGGATTTGATCCTGAACATGGAACCCAGGGCCCTGTGAATGCCAGGAGAGTGTTCTACCATGGAGCTACATTCCAAGCTCTGAGATTTGCTTTAAAATACAGGGGGAAAGTTAAAAGCAAATAGAAGAAAGACTAGAAGACAAGAATCATTAGAACAATCTCTCTACATTTATGCTTCAAAAATCCTGTGAATTTAAAGAAGATAGAGTATCTGGGTATGGTAGTAGATGCTTGTAGTCCTAACACTCAGGAGACAAAGGCAAGGGGACTGTAAATTGTGATGCCAGCTTAGGTTATATCGTGACACTCTATCTCAAATCTCCCCGCCTCCAAAAAAAACAGAGATGGGGCAGGGAGAGAGAAAGTACAAGCAAACAGTAACCAGGGTGGCAGGGATAGTAAGATAGAAAGAGACAAAACCAAAACTGGACGGGGAGGGTAGGGAGAAGAGACAGGTAGAGAAGAAGATATGGGGGGAGAGGGGACAGATGAA